AGGCACTACTCGCGACCCAAACCAGCCACTTATTCTTTAGTTCGCTCACTGGCTTACTCTTGCACGCACAAACGTAACGTGTGCTTGGATTCATTCAGACGCTCTTCTAACCAGACTCGTGGCTATAATCTAGCCTCTGCCCTATCCGTACCACCTCCTCCCATCACCCACTAAAGCCATATTGCCCTTTTTTCTTCAGACTCGCTAAGCTTTTTTCTATCAGTCTCCGCAGGAGGCAGATGGCAGGCTCTCAAATAGGGTAATTTGTGGAGAGTCCAATAAAGGAACGGTTTACAAAAACCTAAGCAGTATTTAGGGACTCCAACAGGGATAGAACAGTGCCACGGGGCTACCAGCAGTAGGGAGTCTTCATCACCAAGGTGTGAAGGAGGGAGGGTTCCAGGAACATGGACAAAATATCTCTATAAGGACGGTTCCATGACAGGAGCTGCAGTATTTGATTAAGGGTTTCAGACTACCCTAGGGACTCCAGTGTGTGCGTTCGAAAGTGCACACAGGTGCACAATAATTATCTCCCTTTCTCCAACTTTGCTGCTGCTCTCCCGTACGTAGGTGTAGGTACTTCCTATTGACCAAACTCTGATTATATTTATTTAATGTCTGCCCCACCCTCACAGCACAGCATCATGCTATAGTAAGTGCTTAGACCTGTTCAAAGTCGAGTGAATGTAATGAAACAAGTATTTATTGAGAGACTTCCCAGAGGTCACAGTTTGGCAGAGGTCCCCTGGGGGAAGTATGAAGCATCTAGGGAGCTCACAGAATGGGTAGTAAACTCAATTTGAGGGGATTCAGGGGAAATGTTCCTGAGGGGTCCTTCAAACTGAGAAGGCTGGGTAGAATTAGTGAAGCCAAAGGAGTAAAGGGAAGGTGCCTACTGTTGTGGGGAAGTGGAGAGAACCTGGCTGTAGCGCTCTGACCTAGATTGGGTAAGTTGTGAGCACTCAGAGGGAACCTCCCCCTCAGAGATTTGCTGCTAGGAGCAAAGGAGGGGTGTTTGGAAGAGCTGAACTCCACAGACTGAAGAGCTGTTCCCCACTGGTTAGGGTTTGGACCTTATGAGCATACAGCCTCTGCTTGCATCCCTCTAGGGTGGGGAGCATACCTTTATGTCTTATTCCAGGGAAGCTCAGCTCTGCACTCGACCCCTTGCCTCTCCCTCCATTCTCCTGATCTCAACTGCTCTGCCACCTCTAGAGGTGAGATCTTGCCTGGTGTCAGCCTGGTTGGCTGGGCGGTGGACTCCCTACCGTAGCTTCACAGAAAGTAAGCTTCCTGGTGGACAACGAAGTTAACTACATTTGCCCAAGTAGAGCGGGCTGAGCCCTGACTGGCTCTGTAGAGGCTCTGCATGTCTAGCTACTCTGCCACTGGCCAGGGTGGGGGTGTGACTTGGAGCAGCCAAAGACCATCAGAGGGAGGTAAGGCAGTTCATTACAGTGTGTTGCCCTCTATGTATGCTAAGCCAGCCCAGGATGAAGCCACACACTGAGGTCAGCCTCATCAGGAAAAGGAGGGACTTCTCCCCACTGAGATGTCCCAGGGCTGGAGGGGCTCCCTGAGAGGAGGGAAGAGGTTCTGTCCTGGGAAGTGCACATGTACTTTTTCATTCTACTCTCCACCACTCTAGGTACTGTGAACTATGGACACAGGGACTTGAGACCCAGTTTCCATCCTGAGGATTCCCAGTCTAGAGCATGGGGGGCTCCACCCAGGTGGAATATGGAAGGTAGAGCTTCCCAGGTAGGGCTTCGTCAGCATTCTTCCATGGGGCAGTCTAAGCCCTGGCTAAGGTCGTGACGCAGACTGAGGCCCCACCTGTGGAAGTCAGCTCAACATGCCACCGTCCCTGTCTCTCTGTCACCCCCACACTCACTCACATGTACACAGCTCAGACTTCTGACACCACTACCACACAACCAGTCAGCCCTGCATCCTGAGCCTTGCCCAGGGCTACCTGGCACTTACCTGGCCACTCCCTCTCCCAGAGGCTCCGCAGCTGATGCTTTCACGAAGACCACTCCTGATTGTACCTGCTGCCTACACCCCAGCAGCCAGGCTCCAACGTCCCTCCCTGCCGCTCTGCCCAGACTCCCACTCAGGCTCAGCTGTGGGAGGACAAAGGGGCTGGACGCCAGCAGGAGAGGAGGAGGGGAGGGGGAGGGGGAGGGGTGGACGCTGGGCTTTTGTTCCACTCTTGGACCAGCCCCAGGAGGGGAGGGGGTGGGAGTAAGAGTGGGATTGACTGTGTGTGCAACTCTGGGATCTGGTATGCCTGGGATTGGGAGTGACTTGTGCTGGCCTTGTCCTTCAGTAATACATAGGGGTGTGTGTGTGTGTGTGTGTGTGTGGTGTGCCTCAGGTAGGCGAGGTGGTTGTCAACGTGTTGGTGTTCCAGTGTACCTATGTGTGAATGTGGGAGTGCGTGACTATAGCTTGAGGTGGTATGGACTTGTGGATGGATGACCACACTGCTGCAGAAGTGACCAAGAATGTGACTGCCACAGATGTGGATTGAGGTTTCTCTCCTTCTGCCTCTGTGTGACTATGCTGTATCCATATCCCTGCTTGATGGCAGACGTCATTGTGGGACTTTGCCTGACTCTATCTCAGTATCTGTGTCTTTTTGTTCATTTTTATGTATGTCATGAGTGTCTCGGACTTGTGTGTGTTGTGGGCCTGTATATCCGTGGTGTGTCTGTGTGTGTGACAGGGGTCTGTATAGCATGTGGTCCTGTGCCTGTCTGGTGTGGTATGAGTGGGGGATAAGCCCCTTGGAGGGGGCTCAGTGGGGTAGGGCATGGTGTTACTGGGAAGGCTGAGTTGGGTGGAGAGGGGCTGACCTGGCCTCCTGGAGCCAAGGAAGGGGATTCCACAGGCTGGTTCTGGATGACTTGCTGCCTCTACAAAGGCCCACAGAGCCTGACATCTACGGGGTTGCCCTCTTGGAAGGGGACAGCAACTTGGGGAGAAGATTGCTTTGATAAGAATCTGGGTAGACCCTGGGCACCTGGGACCTAGTCTGGCACTGTTGTGATGGTTGTGACCCTGATTAGCACTGCCCACCTCTTGGCCTGGCTCTTCATCTCAGCAGGCAGGATACACAAGATTCCTGCTCTGCCTATCATATTGGGTTGCTTAGAAGAAGGCCAGGTGTGAGGAGACCCTGACCCAGGCAGAGCAGGCTCAGACAGAATGGGGGCACGCATGGTGATCTTGACCAAGTGTGAGTCCTGAGGCTTGGCTAGAGTCTGTTCTGAGGACTTGCTCCAGGGAATGGTGAACTGCCCTTATACTGCAAAAAAGATTTCCTGTGTGAATATTATTTAAAGAATGTGAGATATTTGGGGGTCTTCATATCTCTTCTTGGGAAGAAGGGACTGGGGGTTCATAGAGAAGCCTGGAGAAGGTGGAAAGTGGGCTCAGACAGGATGAGGCTCCACCCTCTGAGGTCAGAAGGAAGAAAGGAGTGGTTTACAGGGGACAGCCAGAGGTCTAGGGCCCCTTCTCTGTTTCCTTGTGAAGTAGGTGGCGAGGCTGTTCTCTGCAGAGAAGGGGAGGCTGTGGAGGGTTCCAGGAAGGTAGGTTCCCCAGGTTATATAAGAGGAATCAGGGTGGACCATGGCTGCAGGCTTAGATGGAGACAAGCCAGACTGTCTGCCCATCTAAGGTATGACCGCCCTCCAACTTCCATTATTTGGGGTGAAAGGGTGGCAGCTGGACTGGCCCTGGATTGGAGGATGGGGTATGGGCTGGCTGTTCCAGTTGGGACCCCAGCCCTCTCCCTCCCCACTTTCCTCTCCTAAGATTCCAGGATGTCTTAAGGTTCCCAAGTGTGGCCAGGAGCCTCAGATACCCTGGCCAGTGGGCCAGGGGGAACTGACTAGATAGGGAAGGACTGGTGTGAAAGTTTTATTCTCTTTCCTATGTGGGCCTGACAGAGGTTGGAGAGAAGGCATAACATGATGGGGGATGTGCATTTTGGGTAGGGAAATGCCCCCAACCCCAACACTGGCCCAGCAGTTTCACTTACTGACTGTGTCCAGAGAAGAGGCTGGAGCTGACCCTTGCCCCATTAAGAAGCATTTGCCAGATATTCAGTAGCAAGGGAAGGAAGGGTAAGTCCCCTCAGCCCTGAGGGATAGTCCTAGAGGTTAACATGAGGGGTCAACATTTGGAAGGGACTCTTTTGTTTTCCTTCAAGAAGGTGCCAGAAACTTTGAGGCCTCAAGAATTCTATCTACCCTTGTCTGGAGATGAGACACATCCCTTGGCTCCCGGGAAGTGTGGCATTTGCTTCAGGCAGGCTAGAGCTGGGGTTCAGCCTCACCCTTTCCCCTTGGGACACACCCAAGACATACAGACCCCTGGGACAAACTCACAGTTAAAGATCTGCCCTGACTCCACAGTGGACCCCTCCCTGCAGAGAGCACACACCCCAAATATTGAAGAACAGGAAGGGGCATATGTGGTCCCTGGGCTGCGTTTTGACTTTTGGCCCAGGTGTTCCCATTATGCTAGGCATAGGAGTGTGCCTGCCTTAGGAAGGTCCAAAGCCCTGAGAACTCAAAGCCACCCCCTGTCATGGGGCAGAGGCCTGGTGAGGACTTGTTCTTCTATAGGGGAGCTCAGAGTGCCTCCATATGGCTGAGGGACCAGCTGTCCCACTCCCCAGCCCTGCATTTAACTACCTGTCCCCCTCTGTTATGGAAGGCGATGTGGGTTGGAGCCAGTCTCTGGGTGGGACACTGGCTCTGCCTGTTCTAAGCTATATGGCCTTAGACAATTGCTTTACGTCTGGGGCCAGGGCTGTTAAGGACACCTGGCATCATGACTGACAGGGTAGGGGCTCAGCCATCCTGCCACCATCCCAGAGTTACTGAGAACATTTCCTCCTCAAATCACAGGGCCAGAACTGAGCCTCAAACCCAGTATGCTCTGTTCCCACCCTCCTGCTGACAACTCATAGACAGCACACATCAAGATGGCAGCTTTAATCATCCTGGACGAGGCCCTCAGGCTCCCTCCACTGCAGGCCTACTGGCCACATGTCCATATTTCATCATGCTCAGAACACTTTTCCTAAGGGGTCTTTGCCCTGGGGCCACAGTGGGGGAACATGAGATTGTATCAGTCTGTAGATCTCCTGGGCCTCAGGGCCACTTCTTCCCCAGAGGCCTGTTGGACACTTGGGTGTGACATAGACCAGCCCTAAGCCTGTACTTCTGGCTATCTCCAGCTCCTCCTAGGTGACATGGTTCAAGCCCTCTGGTGGGGCAGGGGCTGGTGGTGCTGGTGGGAGGCTGGTTGGGAAGGAGGATGTATCTGGATCACAGCCACCGGCTTTCTCCCTGGGCAGAACTTCCTTGTGCTTTGAGACTGACATGGAGAGCAGAGCTGCCAGGGGCCAGGGGTAAAAGCCTAGCCCAGGTCTTCAAGGCAGGATAAAAATGGAGAAGTCAGTTGCCCATGGTGTGGACAGGTAGACAGACACAGGTGGGCAATTACATCCTCGTTGCCACGGAAGATGGCACCATCCAGTGACCCATCAAAGCTTTCTGGCTGGGATGTGAGAGAGGCCTGTGAGAGCAGGACCAGGCCCCAGACCCCACACTTCCCAGAAGAAGGAGCCCCAGGCCTGCAGGGGCATCTGAAAGGCTGGAATCCTGGCCCCGCTGGGCCTCAGGGGAGAGGAAACACCCTCCAAGAGAGGTCATGGTGACAAAGGGCTAGGCCCCAAGTAGAGGCTGCGGAGCCAGCTCCCGGAGCTCTCGGTCCAACACGCCAGCTCTCCTGGGCTCTCCTGGTTTCTATGTCAGGTACAGGCCCAGACAGACAGGTCTTCTGCTAACGCCCACCCCGGTCTGTAAGGGTCTTGGTGTGGCTGCTGCCCCCTCGGGAGCCCGCAGGCGTGGCAGTGCTGTTGGCATATGTGTCGTAGCTGCTGTCTGAACATACGGAGAGCTCATCGGAGACCTCCACGCCATCGCTGATCTCTGTTGGGCCAGAGGGAGACAGAATGTGAATGGGGAGGACAGGGTGAGGATGGTGACAGGTGGGGCGGGAAGGGTGGCCTGCAGCAATTCCTAGTGGGGCACTTAGAGACCCGGTGCAGCTGCTGGGTTCCAGCTGGCATTGAGCCTGGCATTCAAGGCCCTCCTGGTCTGCTGAACGCTCTGGCCTTGCCTCAATAGGAAGGAAGCCACCTGCACCTCCAGCCACAGGAAGCCACCTGCGCCCTCTTGAGTTTGGCACTCTTAGTCTCCATGGGATCTTTGTATATATTAGCCCCTCTCTTGGGAGGGACCAATGTCCTTGTGGACACTTCCTTTTCCTAAACTCTGACTCAAGTCTTCTCAGCTGTGTTGTGTCCCCCTTGTGGAAGCCTCCTCCGAGTCCCCCAGGGAGGGATGGGCCACTTCATGGACAGCCCCTGCTTCCTTTGGCCCCACCACATTTGGTGTGAGTTCTAGGACCCGACTAAACAGAGTGGCTCCCGAACATCTGTGCTGTAGAGATGGCAGAATGCAGGGCACAGACGGGTTCAGGGAAGGTCTGCTGAGTGAAGCTCAGCCCGGAAGAATGCTCTCTGGTTCCCGGTGCCCAGGCAAAGTGTTCCCACACTGCCCCCACCAGGAGCACCCTCCACCCACTACCCGGGTGGGTACTCTCTACCGTCCTCCACACTCCAGCTACATCATCACACCAAAACCTTCCTTGCTGCCCCAGGGAGCTCTGACCCCACTCTCCTCAGCACCCGCACTGGGAGAGCTCCAGCAACCCTCGATTTTCCATGTCTGTCCATAGAGCTGCCTCCTCCATCCGACAGGGCTTGCCAATGGGCTAGCAACGAGTAGGGTAAAATCATTATTTGTGCGCCTGTATGTGAACTAGGGGAAGGAAGATGGACCTTCAAACAGGCCCCTCCCCACCCGCACATCGCCCTTGCCCAACAACTGTGGTGTGAAAGGGAGCCACAGGATCCCGAGCTGCCTGCCTGTGGAGGTGTGTGTGTTTCCGTGTGTGTGCCTCTGTATGTGTGTGCCTCTGTATGTGTGCAGGTGTAAACCCAAGTGGGCTATGTACACCTGTCTGTGTCCCTACATACATGCGCTGTGTGACATTGCTTGTAGGTGTGAGCCCCTGCCCAGGGCTTGCTTCGCTTGTCTGCAGGCTGCTTACCTGAGAAGATGAGCTTCTCCTTCATGATGCTGACATCCCGGCTGGTCCGGCGCACTGCAGCGCTCAGCATGATCTGCTCAGGGTTGTAGCTCCGGATGCCACCCAGGCGCCACCTGCAGAAATGGTCCCATGGGCATCAGGTCCTTCCCCACCCCTTCGTGCAGCACAGACCCTGCCACTTCCAGAGGCTCTCTGGATGTGGCTTGAGAAACCGGCCAGACTCATGTCCCACTGGACAAATAGGGAAACAGGTCCAGAGAGGGACAGGGTGGGGACTTGTGTCAGAGTCTACTGGTTCTCGGCCAGGGCTCTCCTGCCTCCCTTTACCTCCAGAACCCTAAACTGGCAACCTGGCCCAGAAAGATGGTTGGTTGGTTCTGTCTCAGGTGCCTCCAGTTATGTACCTGGCTCTTTGGGACAATCTCAGGGAGGAAGGAGCTTAGCAGGCATGACTCGTGACTTGCCCTGGAGTCCACATCAATGTCAGGAAGTCCCAGCTGATGCCTCCCACAGCTCCACCATCATGACAGGCCCAGGGAAGCCAGAAGGAAACCCGGAGATGAAGGGAAGGGAAGGGCAGCAGGGTAATAGGACTGCTCACAAGTGATCTTCACAGGTCTGGGAGGCAAGGGTGTTAGAGCGACGTGGGGTGGGGTGTCTGCTGCTCTGCTCCAACAACCTTAAAGGGAGGGGCAGGCTGGAGCATGAATCCTCCTGAAGGCTGGAAGGGGCAGGGTGGTGGACACACTGACTCGAGGGTAGGCTGGGAGGTGGGCGTGCACAAGGCACGCAGGGACCAAGAGAGAGTGGGGAGGACTCAGTCTCCTGGGCCCAGCCCCGGACACTGCCTTCGCTGTCGTAGTCCCTCCAAATTAACCCCAAATCCCTGGCCTCCCTTGGATGTTTCCTAGGATTTAGGCAGAAGGATTCATGATCCCCCCCACCCTACCCCACCAAGAGGAGCTAAAGGGCAGCTTGGAAACAAGCACCCAACCTTCTAGGGGACCAAATCCTGCTTGGGCCGGTGGAAGGAACCAAGACTCCACAAGAAATCAATTGTGAGTTTCTGGATGGGGTCAGCACAACAGAAATGGACAGACAGATAGGTGGACAGAGCAGACAGACAAGGAGAAAGCAAGAGGCAGAGGGGAAGGCACCTGCCCCCTGGCTGGGCTGGCTGCCCTGCAAATCCTCAGGGGTAGGGATGGCACCTCCTATCCAGCAGTGGGCCCCCAGCACCAATCTCAGTGTCTGCCTAGCGGGTGCTAGACAAGGACTCGTTGAGTGAATGAACAGAAGAATGAGGCCCACAGGGAAATGATCTTTTCCCCTGGTTCATCCCCTAGGTCTCCTTCTCCATGATGCTGCTCCTGACCCTCCAGGGACAATGACACTGCCCTGGTTGTATCTGAAGGACCCAGCACGACACTGGGCAGTATCATGAGTGTCTACTGCCTCTGTGGACAGAGGAAGGATCAACTGGCTAAATGTCCCTCCCCCAGTCCCATAGCCAGAGGGCAGGTTCTCCTCCTAAAAAAGCTGGTCAGTAAAGGTACCTGACCCAGGAGGGCCCAAGGCAGTTGACCAAGGGATGCCTAAGACAAAGTTCTCATCTTGGAAATTAACATTAAAACCCAGCAAGAAGGTATCAGGCTACGGTCTCTGCAGCTAGGTGCATCTAGGACAGGACGACGTTGGGGGGCTCCTCCCAGGGGAAGGGGAGAGGCGATGTCAGGGAGAGGAGTGGCAGTGGGGGTCAGAGACAGAGGAGGAAAGAAGGGATGGGAGAGACACAGAGAAAGGTAAAGAGCGTGACGGAGGGAGGAGGAAGCCCAGAGAGGCAGGAACTTGGGGTCTGCACTGGGCAGGTGGTGAAGGCCCCCAAAAGGTCTGGACTCGGGGGGATAGGGGTGCTCAGGCAGGGACCCCCTCCCTGAGGGAGACACGTTGGTGCTGAGAGACAGGGTCAGGGACCTGTCAAGGAAACACTGGTCCCCACTGGCAGAAACTGCAGTGAGAACAGAGAGCAGAGGGACACACATGGCAAGATGGGAAGAGCAGGGAGGAGGGCTGGGGGAGAGAAGGAGGGGTGCGGCTTCAGGCAAGGGGGTGTGTTGGCGAGGGTGACCCAGGCCCAGAGCTTGGTGCACGGCAGCTTTTCAGACAGAACTAGAGAAGGGACTGGCAAGTAGGGAGAAAGAGGAACAGGAGGAGGAGCACACTAGAATTACCTGATCAAGTGATAGCTGTGAGGTGCCAGAGTGCAGCAGAGGGGGGGAGGGGAGAGAGGAGGGACATGCGCCGGATCAGAGCAGGATGGGACAGAGAGAGAACATCAGTCAAGAATAAAACCCAGCCCCTTGGTTCCTGGCTGGGCTGGGCCCCCAGGTTGGCCCTAAACCCTCCCCTGGACCCCACCCCACCCACATCCCAGCTGCCGCCCTGAGGGGTAGGTGGGGAGGCTTTCCACCTGGCACAGGCAAGGCCTCGGTGCTGCTGGGAACCTGTGCCCCAGCTAACAGGGGCAGGCTAGCCGCAGAGGGGCCAAAGTCCACACAGCGAATCAGGACAGAGCTTGGCTCTGGGCTCCTAGCTGGGCGCTCATTCCAGAAGGCACCCAGCCTCTGCTGGAAGAAGGCAAGGCTGGGGGATCCCGGGGACTCCCATCTTCTCTCCTGGTCAGGCTTCCCGGTTGGCCTGCCGAGGGCTCAGGGTAGGTTCACCTGGCTGGGTGGGGGCTGGGCCTACCAAGGGGTGGGAGGACCATGGAAGTGTCAGCGCCTACTCACTTCTGAAGCACGAAGATGCCAACGATGAGGGTGAAGGAGATCAGGTCGGCGGTGACCCACATGAGACAGTACTCGTCCGGGGGCTGTGGACAGATGGCCCGAGGCCAGCTTCCAGTCATGGCCCATCCAGACTGAGGGTCCATGGGCTGGAGGACCCCACATGACCATGAGGGAGGGTAAGGAGGACCTTGAGGGGGATGGAGGCTTATGATTTTACTTTGTAGGAGTGGGCTCTGCATAGTGTGGGCCTCAGTGAGAGAGAGAGAGAGAGAGAGAGAGAGAGTGTGTGTGTGTGTGTGTGTGTACGCGCGCGCACATGCACACACTCAGGGTAGAAGTGATGGATGTTAAACCTGGAGGGTCCGTGGCTCAAAGCAAGAACCAAATGATGAAACAAGGGTACTGTATGTCTGAACAAATGTGCATATGAATGTAAGGGTGTGATACAACTGGCTGGTGAGCTGCGAACCTGTGGACAGGTGTGTAGCACCTGTGTGGGGTAGGAGTATGCTTCACTGCATGAAGACTGGAGGGCAGAGAGCAGGGCCCCCCAGGGAACACTGAGGGGCTAGGAAAGGCAAGGCCCTGTGTGTAGCCTCAGGCTCCTGGGTCTTGGGCATGCTGGGAGGGGTGAGCTCGTCACCCGCGCTGGTAGTGAGTGGTTTTGTGCCCACTCGGGAGGTTTTAAAGGATGAAAGGCAGGTGAGAGCTGGAGAGCAGGTATTTAGGGACCTGGAGGCTGTGATGGGTTCTAACGTGCAGGCCACGGCCCAGATCCCCATTTCCTCCTCTCCTCGAGGGCTGCTTCTTGCTTCCTTCTCTCTCCTTCATGAGTCCATCCTAACTCAGATGTAACTTGCTGACGATGCCACCCACAAGGCCATAAGGGGCCCTGTGTCTGCCTTTCATGTCCTCAGGGAGATGGCAGCAGGAGCCGCACAGGAGGGAAGCCAGGGCTCCCCAGCTACTGGGAGGCAGCACAGGGACTAGAACTCAGCCTGTGGGTGGGTGCTCAGCCCACCAGCTCAACACCATTTGATTCACTATTTTCAAGGAAGACTTTTAACATTCCTAATTCTTGTCCCATTGTTCTTTTCCCTTACTTTAAAATCAAATATAAGGAACACACTCCAAAAGAAAACTCCAAGTAGCTATTTACTTTTTGAGGGCCCCTAGGTGATGTGCTCCTCCCTGGGAGCAGGGCCCAGAGTTCCTCCAGTGCCTTAGTGCAGCCCCGGAGGCGAGGTAAATTCTCCTCTTGCCTCAAGCCTGCATCCACATCAGGGACACCTCCAGCCCTGAGACCTCCCCAGGGACAGCCCCAAGCACAGAGCTTGCTGAGTGGTAGGAGTAGGCCACAGGCAGTTCTCTACACTGACCCCAGGTGTCCTCTGTCCCCCAACAGTCTCCAACTCACCATGATCCAGAGTGGGGAAGGCACCTGGGACAGGGTGTGGGAGTTGTCAGAGGTGACAGACGGGACCCCAGCGCACCACAGCAGGGAGAAGAGCCACGGCGCATTGACAGTGTAGAGGTTCACACTCAGGTTCCAGGACGCGTAGTCCCTGGACAGGACAGAGGTTGGTTGGTTCCGGGCACTGGCTTCTCCCTGTGGGAAGCCTGTAAAGTGTGCTCCCTTCACAGCCTCATGCCACCAACTTTCCCTGGAGGAAGGAATGTCCACACCAGGACCCAGCTCCCAGTCCAACCCAGCTCTGCTTGCTGCTCACAACATCTCTGAACCACATGTGCAGAACCCCTGTGTGCCCTGCCCTCTGTCCAGCAGTGAGAGGAGTGTCAAGACTAGGGGAGACTCAGTCCCACCCCTGGGCCAGGTGGGGCAAGCACCTGAGCTCCTGGCGGGACACCTGAGTGTAGCGCAGGTTCAGCCGCTGTATGTGGCCCCTCCGCAGACTGGCGACAGCCTCCTTGGAGCCTGAAGTTTGCTGGAAGCCGGGAGCCACCTTCTGCACGAGGGGCCTTTGCCTGTTTGGCAGCCACATGACCTACAGGCAAGAGGGCGGGCAGCCTCAGCGTTTTCTTCTGCAAACTCTGGGTAAGAAGACCTACCTCACTAGAGTATGAATAAGGTTAAAATGATGACCACTTAAGTGTGATGGTTATCAGGGGACACTTGGTCCCAGCCATGGCTGTAAGCCCTCTGGCTACAACTCTGGATTGCTGTCATGTCAAGATGGAGAACCCAAACACCCATCACTCTGCCCGGGGTCACTAGTTTCAGGCATGCTGTCACAAATTGGTGTTGATTTCTCTGGTCCCTAATCATTGCACCACAGTGACCTGGGCAGCCCTTCACTGACGTAACTGGAGATCCTGGACCCACTCCTGCCCACTGAACATCTGAAAGGACTTTCTGGTTCCCTTCTGCTCCCCGCGAGGACCCTGGCAAGGAGGCAAGGGGCCTAAGACCCCATTTTACAAATGTGAAACCTGAAGTCTAGAGGGAACAGGTGAGTTGAGGTTGGAGCAGGGCTGGGCCAGGGCTGGTTGGGGTGCTGCAGGGCCTCACCTGGTGCTGTGGGAAGCCAGACCGCAGCAGGGCCTCCAGCGTGACATTGAGGAAGCTGCTGCGGTAGGGGTGCTCCCGGGGCGGGTCGCGGAGGTTGAGGAGCAGCGTGGCGTTGCCCTTGGCCAGCTCCAGCAGCTCTTCCAGGCTGCAGATGGACTGGTTCTGGGCCTCCCTGAGGTCGGAGGGTGACAGGGAGCTGGCCGTCCAGAAGGGGTCAGTCTGGCAGAGACAGGGACACACATGGTTCTGTCACCTGCCATTTCGGGTCTCTGCATGCTTTCCTAGCAACCAAGTGTGGAGAGCCCTGGGCTTCGGGAGTCCGCTGGTGTCCGTCAGGTGAAGTGGTGCTGCGGCCTCCCAGAGCCTCCCGCCCTTACCCTCTACCCAACTCCGCTTCCAGAGGGAATGGTTTTCCCAGAGCACCTCCACCCCAGCCCATTCTCCTCTAGCCTCTCAGACCGGACAATCGACCTCCCTCCAGAGTGTCCCAGAGTGAACCGTTCTGCTGTCAGCACCCCCATCAGCTTGTCCCAGCCAGGGAGGCAGATCCAGATCAAGCAGTGACAACCATGAGGTCTGGCTGCTGCGGAACCCGGAGAGGCCACTAACCAGCCTGGCCTCATGACCCGAGTTGATGGCCACCTGCCTCTCTCACTGTGTGGGATCCCTGTCTAAGACTGGGGTCTGACCTTCAGGAACCACTGCCCGGCGTTGAGCCTCTGCAGGACGGTCCAGTTGAGCATGGAGGCGGGCCTGTGGGCGAGCTCCGGGAATGCCTGCTCCACGTTGGTGGTGCGCCGCAGCGTGGTGTCGTGCATGAGGAAGGGCACACCGTCCAGGCTGTGGGGAGGGGGCACCGAGTCACCACCCAACCAAGTCACCTGCCATCCACAATCAGCCCCTGTCACACACTGCTCCCCAACCACCATGGGGCCTGAACTGGCTCTGCCCCTCTCTGAGCCTCAGTCTCCCTACTGAATAGTGGACAGGGGGCTGGTAGGTGACCCTGAAGGGCCAATACCCTCCACTCTGTGTGCGGGTCAGGTGGGGTGAGAACTGCCAGGGAGGGAGGGTAGGAAAAGGCTGGGACCATTATCATCTGTGAAGATAGGTGCTAGGTCACTCAATAATGGAGAAACTGAGACGAAGAGAGGAAAGTATCTAGCTCAAGGTTGACTGCCAGGAAGTAGTAGAACATGTCTTGGGACCAAGTCCATTGATCATAATGAGAACAGTGCAAATGTAGGCCTCTTTTACAAATCTCACCCCATCTCCACCTTATCTCCCCGACCAGGGCTGCCAAGAGCTAACCCAGTGCACCTGTGCCCTGCCCCCACTCCTCAAGGCATGTCACCACCACATGCTAGAAACATATGATAAATAGTTTTACAATGTCCACTCTGGGAAAGGTGACCTCACATATATGGTGTCCTTGTTATGACCAGTATGACTCTATATGGCAGCCCCACCCATCTTCCCCTCTCAGAGGTGATCTCTATTATAAGATTGGGGTGGATTCCTCCTCCCCTTTATACTAATACATATTTCAATATCTATAGCTATAAAATGTACCTATCACCTTTGTGTGGTCCCTTAAAATATAACTGGCATCACAGTAATAGTATTGTCTCCCCGCCCAGTTAACTTCACTTATCTGAGCATTTGAGCCCTCCCATGAAGCCGCGACACGGAGCTGGCTTCTCTTCAGGTGGATCTGTGCCTCCAGGTCCTTACCCTTCACTCTGCCTGACCAAGAGAGTCTGCTCTCTTCTCTCTTATACCCTGGAGTTTGGCACAAGATTCACTGGCATGGAAAGGGTGCCTCCCTGCTGCGGATGATCCCAGATGACTCCCATCTCCACAGCTTTGGGGCCAGAGGTTCCACCAGCAGAGACCCTGTGGAGGAGAGGTGCCCTCCTCCCTTCCTGACACCTACCTGACAGTGACGTCAGCCTGGAGCCCATACAGCTTCTGCTCTAGTGCCTTCCGGAAGGACATCAGTGTGTGCTCTGGGGCCAGCTGGAGAGGAAGGCATGGTGAGGGGGGGCCAGGATTCAAATGATGTCCCCCTCCCCAGCCAAAGAAAGGCCTTGTGTTGGGAGGCTGGGGCAGGTCTGGTTCTAATTTTGGCCCCTCCCTGGAGCAGCTGTGTGACTCTGGGTGCCCACTCAGCTTCTCTGAAGTTCAGTTTCATCCTCTGTTAAGTCATGTCCACCTTGCAGGTTTTTTGGGGGAGGGGCAGACATGATGGTTAGGGTGGGTGTATATAAATGTCTGACAGACAGCTAGCACCTAATAAATAGTAGCTTTGATCATGAGATTATCCTTACTGTGTCCCAGGCACTGAGCTAGACACGGAGGCAGGAAACCTTTCCCATAGTCTGGTGGCTCTTTGGCAGCCTTGGGGAAAGGCAGAATGCCATGTTCCCTCTTGGTTATACCCTGAGCTCAGTCCAGATGAAGATTTGGAGGGAGAGGAGGGGCCTGAGGTGACAGTTTCATTGCAGTGATGAAATATCATGTCCTCTTCCTCCCTGGGTCGCTCGCTATATGGATTAAAAGCCCCTAGGCAGGTTGCCTGATCCAGAGAAGGTGCTTAAATGGCAACTGTACAGCATGAGTCAGAAGATCCTAGTTCTAGCCTTGACTTTGCATTAACTAGCTTTACGACCTTGGGTGTATTTCTCCCTCCTTGGGGCTCTTTCCCCAGTGGCCCCTTGAGGAGGTGCTCTCTGCTCTCTGAGGGTCCTTAGGCTGGGAGAGTTGGGGTTCTAAGTCTCCCTCCCTGGTTCCATGTAGTCTGAGGACACTGCCATACTCCCTTTCTGCCACTGGGGGTCAGCACCAAATCAGGGATTCCTCTAAGACCTGGTGCAAGTGGTGTGGGCAGAGGGAGGGAGGGAGGAAGGAGACATGTGGAGAGGTGGCTGATCTAAGCCCACGTTATGTCCCTCTGGCCATGCTCTGCTCCAACACATTCCCCTCTTCTGGAGGGCAGCCTGGCACCGGAGAGCCAGGGAATGGCAAGGAAAGGCTTTGAAGCTGACCAAGAGGGAGAAATGCCATCTCTAGTGGGGCCTCAGTTTTGCTTTGTTTTGGTTTTTGGTAGTCGAGATTGAACCTAGGGGTACCCTGCCAGCGATCTATATCTGCATCCCTTTTTATTTTTTAAGACAGGATCTCATTGAGCTTCCCAGGCTGGCCTCCTCCTGCCTCAGCCTCCTGAGTCACCGGGATTACAGGTGAGCCACCACCATGCCCAAGGGCCTCAGTTTCTTTAGCTATAAAATGGGCTCATGCTATCAACCTCATAGGTGGAATAGCACATCAGAGACCCTAGGCCAGAGCCTGGTGCACAGTAGAAATTCTGTAATATGAGTACCTTTCTTTACCTTTTGTCCAGCCTGGGGAACATGCCACCTGTTCTCCCAGTCCAGTGGGCATTGTGAGTCCCCATCCCCAGAGCAGGGTGGTGGAGGCCCCCGCCCATCTCTCCTTCCACCAGTGACCATGCAAGAGGTGTAGACTCCCTTGCACACGGGCTGTGCCTGAGAAGGTGGACAGGAAGTAGCCTAGAAAGGGCTGTGAAGACCCTGAGGAGAGGGCAGAAAGAGTCTGGGAGGGGAAAGTTTCTTTTCTGCACTGTTAAGTTCTCCCTAGGTTAGGTGCTGGCCACCTAGAACAAGGCATGGAAACCTGGTCCTCCCTTGCCAGGGCTCCAGGATGACCTCCCCAAGTATGCAGGGCTTCTGGGATAATTTTTTTTTTCTTTTTGTGGTGCTGGAGGTTGAACTTAGGGCCCTTTGGATGCTAGTCAAACATTCAGCACACCACTGAACTTCATCTCAGCCAATTTATGTTTTATTTTGAGACAAGTTCTTGCTAGATTGTCTAAGCTGGCCTGCAACTTGCAATCCTCCTGCCTCAGCCTCCTCAGTAGCTGAGATTACAGGTGTATGCTACCACACTCATCCCTGCAGTGAATTCATAATCCCTCTCTCAGAGCTCCTACCTGCCTCAGGCAAGTCCAAGTGGGGCTCTGTCAGGACAGTGCATTCGGGTGGGGTGGAAAGTTGTTTCACTTAGTGAACAGGAAATTGTGCTTGAGAGTCCCAGCTTTGGATCTAGTCACACCAAATAGGAAAGTCCACCTAGGAACAGCACATCTGGGACACACAGACACAGCCTCTCAGGCAGGAGGTGCACTCAGCTTACGACAGTCAGAACCCACGGATAATCAATTACCTGAGGACCCATGGACAGATCCACATGCATTTGCAGGGACACAGAGGGGACCTTGGCTGGGCCTTCTCAAACACCACTAAAAGTTGGTTTTGTAGAGATAAAGAGCAGAATAGTGGTTATTAGGGGCTGGGGTTTAATAGTGGTTATTATAGGCTGGAGGGGAGAGGTTTACAGGTACAAGGTTAAAGTCAGATAGGAGAAGCTAGTTGTGGAGTTCCACAGCATATAGTGTGATTATAGTTAATGAGAATTTGCTGTGCGTTTCAGGTCAGAAGAGAGGATTTCTATTGTTCCCAACACAATGAAATGCTAAATATTTGAGGTGATAGATATGCTAATTACCCTGATTTGATCACTATGCATTGTATACATGTATGAAAATGAAACACTGTGTCTCATAAATATGCATAATTCTTGTATATTAATTAAAAATAATTAGTTGATTGGTTATAAAATAAACACTACAAGGATGAAATCAGCCAGATGTACAATGTGGAAAATTCTACAGGATAAATGAATTTCTTCAACAAATAAATGGCATAAGGGAAAAAGGGATGGCTACTATTATAGACTAAAAGGTACTCAGGGGTCAGCGTGGACATCATTTAGGTCCTGATTTTTTTGGTGGTGGGGGATTGAATTAAGTGGTACTACATCACTGAGAAATATTCCTGTTTTTATTTTATTTTTTAAATTTTGAGACAGGATCTCTCTAAATTGCTCAGGGTGACCTTGAACTTGTGAGCTTTCTGCCTCAGCCTCCCAATTATGGACATGTACCGCTGTGTCTGGTAGTCCTGAATTTTATTTAATTGATTGATTGATTGATTGATTTTGGGTACTAGAGATTGAATCCAGGGATATTTAACACGGAGCCATGTTCCCAGACTTTTTTATTTTTTATTTTGAGACAGGGCCTTGCTAAGTTGCTTCAGGACTCATTTAGTTGAGGGGCTGGGCTTGAACCTGCTATCCTTCTGCCTCAGTTTCCAGAGCCTCTGGGATTACAGGTGTGCACCACCATGGCCAGCCTCAACTTTAATAACTGAACTATAGATACTTTTTGAGACAACAATAGAAAATTGATTTGATATTAGATATGAAGGAATTATTGCTAATTTGGTTGGATATAATAACATCACTGTGGTTATATTTTTTTAAAGTTCTTATGGATCAGAGATACATCCTGAAATAAGAAGTAACATGATGTCTAGGATTTGCTTTACTACACCAGAACAAAAAAGTATGGGGACCAATGAAGCAAGAGTGGCAAAATGTCGCTAACTATTGAAGGTCGTATTGGATTCATAATGTGGTTCTTCATTACATGATACTTTATATTGCTTTTTCCATGTCTGTGTGTTTGGAAATTTTTCTACTAAAGAAAACAATTACCAAAGACGGTGGAATGAGATGGACATCATTCCCCTAGGTACACGCATGACTACACATATGGTGTGACACTAATCGTTTACAATCAGAGAAATGTAAATTTGTGCTGCAATTGTGTGCAATGAATCAAAATGCATCCTGCTGTCATAGATACCTAATTAAGATAAATAAACTAATTTTGAAAAGAAAAAAAAAGAAAAGAACTACCAGGCATGGTGGTACATGCCTATAATCCCTGCTACTCAAGCAGTCAAGGCTGGAGACTCACAAGTTTGAGGCCAGCCTTAGCAAACTGCCTCAAAAAAAAAAGGGGGGGGGTGTAGCTTTGTGGTATTCAATATCAGAAAAAAAGGAAAAAAAAATGAAACCAGCCCTTTCTGGGTCATCCCCTCTTTGCCCCTCCTGCTTTAGCACACTGTTCCTTTCCTCTGGCCTCCAGAGCAAGTGAGACAGGTCACCCACCCCCACGAGGGCCTGTCTGCCTGGCAAGGGAGTGCTTCTGACCTCTCCTCACAAGACCCAGCAACATGGGCATCCCTAACTCAGGCTCCAAGGGGGTGAATGACCTGGCCTCCCCTACCACCAAGAAAACAGCAGAATGTGGCTTGATGGGAGAGTACCACGGTCCAACTCAGGGACACAGTCCTCTGTGATTTTTTTTAAATTAATTTTTAAATTTTATTTTTTAATTATTGGTGATTGAACCAGGGGTGCTTTAATACTCTCTCCAGCCCATTTTTATTTTGAGACAGGGTTTCGCTAAATTTTTCAGGCTGGCCTTGAACATGTGCCTCTTGCCTCAGCCTCTCAAGTAGCAGGAATTGCAGATGTGGGTCATTGCTCCCAGCTGAGTATTATCTAGAAAATAATACCTATCTCATACAGTAAGAGAGGATTTTCAGGGGAATTCAGAGCTCCATCAAACCCAGGGCCTCGTGCATACTAGGCACTGACTCATATCCCCAGCCCATATACACATGCTTTTAAAACAATGACTTGTGGAGGCCCCTTTAACTCTCCTGAAATCCAATGGCACAGTGGAATGGCTTGGTGGGAGAGTACCAGGGTCTCAACAGACACCAGCTCTCAGGAAGTCCCCAAACGCCCCCTGCGGGTGGGGGCTGGTATTGCCTCAGTTGAGAAGGTTCAAGTCTTCCAGGGGGTGAGGAGACCTTGGTCCAAAGGGGGCTTCTTACTTTCTTCTTACTTTCAGCCTCCCAAGTAGCCTGTTTGGGCACTACATCTAACAGCTGCCCTCTGACCCGGCAGGCACGCTCACTATCTCCATGGCACAGGATGGGGGAGCAGGAACAGAGAAGATGGAAAACCCCAGGCTCCCACAGCTGGCCAGGGCTGGGCCTGGCTTCCTGCCCAGATAGCATGGCTCTGGAACTCTCAACCTCAGTACTCCTGCAGAGGTGTGGGGCACCTTAGTGGCAAAATAGGGTTCGACTTTGATTTCATCCTCTTTCCAATTCAGTCTGCTCCAACAGCCTTCCCTTCCATGGTGGGCTCTGAGCTGCCCCTCAGCTTTGCTGCCCCACAGCCTGGTGGGTTCTCCTGCTGCCTGGTTGCAGTCCCAGGCCCCTCACCCAGCAGCTTTCTTCTGGGCCTTTCTAACTGAAAATTGGCAGTGCTGTGCCTGGGCCTGAAACCTCCTGCATCTCTGCAGGACCCTCAGAATAAAAGTGAAATCTTTTTAGTAAGATGCCTTCAGGGCTCTTCAGGATCTGGGCCCACATCAGCTCTCCTGGCCTTTGCCACAGCCTTCCCCACACACCTCCCCCAAAGAGCTAAGCTTGTCCCTATTATTAGACTGCATATATCATATCCATTTCCCAACAGATTCCTCCTCTGGAATGGCAGCGGCACCCACCCCTCTCCCAGTCTCTTAGGACCCTAAGATGGCACTCACCATTGGGGCCCCGCGGTGGCCGATGAGGGCAGGCTTGGGGCCCAGGTCCTTTTTCTCCATGATGCAGGGAGAGGAGATGGTAAGAGGGGCCAGGTAGAGGGCAAAGACCACAGCGAAGAAGGTACAGAGAATGGTCACCTGGGAAGCTGCAGACACAGGCCATGAGCACCTCATGGTTGGGAGCACCTTCTCCCAACAGGGAACCCTCGGTAGCCAGGGGCGGATGTAGGAGCCCAGCATTCTGAGAGGTAGAGCCCATTCCTGCTGGGAAGTCACATACACACATGAGCTCGCACTCGTGTGCATGCACGTGCACTTGGAGGAAAGATATAATTGAAGGCTGACAGAGCCACACTTTTTGGTGGAGTCTGTAGGCCTCTCTGAACCAGGAACCCCGCCCCACCCCCGCCCTTTGATCACAAGGGCCCCTGCTCAGCTCAGGCTATACAGGTGGAGTCCAGTGGGGGAAGCCCAACCTGGCCTAGGTGTCACGCCAGTGGGGAGGCAGTACTCACAGGACCGCTCTGCGCGGGAGAACTGTCCAGCCACGATCCAGGAGAGTGCAGTGATGGCAGCCAGGGCCCCCATGTGCAGAAATGGTGCTGTGCCCTGTGTTTGTGAAGAGGAGGAGGGTCCTGGGACTCCCAGACATGCCCAAGCCCTCAAGTTGCCAGCAAGCTGATAGCCCACGTTTAACCCACAAAGTCAGTACCCTGTCTCTGTTTGCCTGATAAGGATACTGGGAATCCAGAGACCCTGGCTTACAGTATCCTCCCCACCTCTGACCTGCTGTGTGACCCAAATCAAATTTGCACCAACTTCGGGCCATGCTATGGAGAAACAGGAGACAAAAAGGCACTGCCTGTTGCAAGGGTCCTGGTGGAGCACCCTCTCACACACTTACCTGCAGGGAGATCAGCAGCACTTCCCATTCGTCCTCCCACAGCTGGGCCACGGCTGACATGGCTACCACAGTGGAGGCCAGGATGACTACCAGCCCAATCTGAAAGGAGGAAGCATCAGACACAGTGTCAGAGCAGATGGTGGGCTCCAGGGTGTCTGAGAGGAAGAGTGGAGAGAGAACCTAGGGACCCTTGGGAAGAGATGCAGAAAGCAGGGGAGCTGGAGGAAGCAAGATAGAAGGGAAGGAAAGAGATGGCATGGGCTGAGGGGCAGTTGGGGAAGGCAGAGAGAGAGGACAGCCAGGAAGGGACAGGCAGACCCTGCAAGGAAGGGACAGTCAGAAAGAGGGAGGGTGGAGAGAAGGAAACTGGAAACACTCGACCAGCAGGGCCTCCCTGCTGGCCACCCGGCCTCCCAGCCCTCCCAGCAAGCTCAGAGGGACGGTGGCATCCAGGGCAGACGGGATGAGGAAATTGCCTGCTCCAGGCCACAGGGACAGGGCCTGGTGTGCAGCCTAGCCCCACACACAGGACTAGGCTCACAGTGGCACTTCTGGCAGGGCAAGCACCGGCTCCTTCACCAAGGCCCACCAACCCCAGGGTCCCAGCTCTGGCAGCTTCTAATGTGTGAGGGGTCTGCCCTCCAGGGAGCTTCTCCAGAAAGTGAGGAGCATGGCTCTGATAGAGGACAAGGACAACTTCAGGGACAGAGATCTTTGAGGATGGATAGCATCTGGAACCCCCAAACTAAGTGCCACGAAGCTCAGGTTTCCTGCTTGTCAGCCCCCAGCGCTACCCTCCATTGAGCCCTGGACTTTGCTGCCCATCCAGCCCCCTGTGCGCAAAGCCTGTTTCGTAGCCCAGTCACACCTCCACTGCGGCCTCCCGCTGCCCGGTGCTCGGAAGCTGGCCTGGACCACGGCATGCTGCTCTCTGGCTTGTCAGACTCGTGGCCCACACGCGGCCTGGCCTCTCTGCCTCCCTCAAGCCCTTTTCTCCCTCGGCAACGAACGTCCTCTCGCCTTTCTCCTCCTGCCAGGCCTTTTGTCCTGACAGCAGCGCCCTGAGAACCTCCAGCAGCTGAGCAAGGGCTGCGTGGGCTTTCTAGACCTGAGGCAGGGACAGCGGCCTCTTGTTTTGCTCCCTGCCAGGCAGGGAAGGTGAATTCTTGCCCGGGATTAACTTTTCCTTTGGAAACTTGTCATTTCAGCCCATTGGCCTGGAAAAATAGGTCTTCTCCTAAGAAACAGTAACAAGTCAAACAGGTAAAGGCCTTTATGGGTTGTGACATGCCTCTTCTGGGACAACGGAAGAAGGTGTGCCTGGGTCTGCCTGCAGCGGGACTCAGGGTGTCCTCCACTGTATTCTGACACCCCGGGTGAGGCCTTGTCATTTCCTACCCCGGGGAGTGGGCTCTGCTCGCTTGATCTCACAGCTTCAGAGGCGGATCCAGATACAAACCCCTCTGCCTGTGCTCATTCTCGGAGTTCAGGCTGCTGTGGGGAGGGCTGGGAGTTGAGGGGACATTGGGGGAGCTCCTAACCATCCTGAGAAGCCTCTACCTCCACACCCAGGCTGTCCACTCCAGGCACACATCTGCCCCCTTGTGGCCTTGGGAGAGAGCTGGCATCCCAGAAGGGTTGTTTCTGAGAGCATCTCATACAAATAGTAACTGTTGGTGGAAATACAGGCAATAAAACTGACTCCTCATAATCCTAATACAATTAAAAATTCGACCACCTCTGGGTTTTACAGATGCTGCAGCAGCAGCTACAAGCTCAGCAGCTCTGCTGAATATTCAGCATGGAACTCCCTCTCTCTGATGTGTCCTTAAGCCATGGAAACAGCACCAACTCACAACAATGTGAGCCCTGGGCCTTAAGGCTGGCTAGGAAGGATGACTCCCCCGCTGGTGGCCTGGAGACAGACTGAGAGAGTGGTCTTGGATTTCTGTCCTGCTGGGGCTGCGGTCTGTGATGGCGATGAGGGTGGAGGCTGAGGCAGTGCGCTCATTCATTCCAGAGGGTTGCCTGGGTGCTGGGACCCAGCCCTGCAGAGGGGTAATGGGTTGACCTCTTGGGGGTGCCTGGCCTCTGGGTTCTAGGATCCCAATGGCAGCTCAAGGTGAGAGCCACACCCAAGTCCCACTCCTGGGTCAAATCCTGGTTATTCTGCTCTTCATAAATCTTGCCTAAGCTGAGATGTGGGGACAGTGAGTGTCTACCTGGGAGAGTTTGGGGAAGATAAATGAGGAAATGCCAGCATCGAGAGGAAATGCTTCCTGGATGTTAGTAGGATCATTTTAAGTGACAGCAACTGAACAGGATGATTGTGAGGAAGGAATGAAACTCTGTGTGGAGAGTGCCTGATGCATGCAGTAAGTGCCTAATTTTATGTGCCAATGGTTAGTGCTGTTATGATGAACACAGTGCCTAGCGTATAGGAGGTTCTCAATGAATGTTCCTTTCTTAAGCCACAGCTGGAGGGATAGAGGCAGGACACCAGGCAGAACTGTGGAGCCTGGGTTAGATATTGGAGAAAATCCTGAATTCACTGGCAATGTGGATGATGTGGACAGAGTGGTCAGCAAGCTGACGCCCTGATCGAGTCTGGGATGTGGGCAGACACACCAGCCCAGCTGCTCTGGGGCTCTACGGTTCCCAGTGTTCCTCTCTAGCCTCAAGTTGGGTCACTGACAGAACCCTCCTCTGCAGGCTGTGGCTGAATCCCCTGTGGCAGGAGGAGGAGACGGGCTGGGGAAGGAGGAGCTGCCTTTGGCACCCCACAGAGGTGGCATCCCAAGGAAAGGGCCTTGTGTTTACTGCCAAGTCCCCAAGAACACTTCAACCTTCTCCACACCTTCGGGGCTCCTGGGAGGGAGTTCTGGGAGACAGGAACTCTGGGCAGACTTGGGAGGAGGAGGAAGGTCCCCAGGGGATCCTTGATTCTCTCACAACACCAGGTGTTGAATAGATGGCTCCCTCCCCAACCAGTCCCTGAGCACCTCTGTCCTTCCTTCCTCAGGATCCAGGGGAAACCCAGATTCAAAATATAGGTCATGATTAAAACATAGCAGGGCTGGGGATGTAGTCCAGTGGTAGATGCCTAGCATGCACAAGGCCCTGGCTCCATCCCCAGTATTACAAAAACAAAAACAAAACAATACCATAAAACTCAAGTCTTCAAAGCAACATGATAGTAAGTAAAAAGTTCAGAAATAGATCAGAATGTATTAAAATATATGGTTTATGATCAAAGTGGATTAGAGGGGAAAGGTAGGCTTGCTCAGAGAAGACAGCTGGGAACACTGGGAAACCATCTAAAAAGAACTAACTAAGATCACACCATGCCCCGAAATAACTTCCAAAAAGATAAAAAAAAAATTTAAATGTTAAAAAAAGTGAAAACATAATTACCAAGTGATACCACAGAGAAATTTTATATAATCTCGGAATGAGAAAGATCTAAGTCTGACACAAAACCCAGGAGCCATAAAAAGAGATGACAGATCTAAGTACTAAGGAAAAAAAAACCCAAAAAAAACAAAAAACCCTGTGGCACAAATACAATGAACAAAGTCTAAAGATAAATGATAAACTAAGAAAAATCATCTGCAGCCAAAGGGCTAATCACCCAAATCTATAAAGAGCTCCTGCAAATTAATAAGTAAAAAGCAAATTCCATAGCAAAAAGGGCAAAACACCAAGAGACAGCAGATAGAGAAGACACATGTGACTCAAGCTTGTGAAAAGTGCTGACTCTAACTCATCCCAAGGGAATGCAAACTATAGTTAGGTTTCATTTTTCGCCGATCAGATCGGCAAAGGTCAAGAAATCAGCTCACATCTGTGGGTTAGGGGTGTTTTTGTGGGCCTGGCCATACATTGTCAAGAGAGTATGAATTAATGGCACTTGGCAACTAGGCCACTTGGCAAGATCAAGATTATGAAAGTAGACATTCTTTACCCAGAAATTCCTCTCCTGGGTCATTGCCACACTGCCTGGGTTGTGGACTGAAAGTAGCTGGGATAGCGACTAGGGCCATCAACAGGGGCCTGGCATGGATACCTAGGGAACTTGGGAATGCCCAGAGCAGGGAGCAGGAGAAAGTGATGGCCCCAAAGGTCTACTCTTAATGTCCCTAACAGGAGTGCCAAGCATGTTGTCAAGGGGCAGGACAGAGGGTGTTGTGTTTAAAGAGAAAGAAAAACAAAATGTACATGTATATTTGTGCTTAAAATATCTCTGGAAATAAAGAAATTTTCATTGTGTACTTTTTTGTGTCATCAATGTATTATGTGGTCAAAAATAAATTAAAACAAAAACAAAAGACAGCTTTCTTAGAATACAATGACAGAATCGTGAAAAAATAGAATACATATGGAAAACTTCCAGCACCTGCTCAAAAGCCCTGAGACCCGGCCCCCCCCCCCCCCCCCCCCGGGGTGAGGCAGCCTCTGGAAAGCCCCTCCTCACCCCAAGATCCCACAGAGAGGGTGGAGGGGCAGAAGGGAGAGGAGGGCACGCCTGGTCCCCAGGGTGGGCACCCGTGCAGAGATAGCATTGATGTGCTACCTCCAGCTGGCTCAGTGGCTCTATAGGCCTCTCCACCAGGATCAAGCCGATGTGACCTGTCCTGCTGAGAGGCAGGCTTGGCCCCAGGAGGTGACCACAGCATGTGCCAGCCCCACCCAGGGTACCAGCTGGTGCAATTCTTTCAAGTGTTAATTTTGCAGCCAGGAGAAGAAAGTGCCTCACAGAGGGGGCTGCGGAAGCTCAGAGGAGAGCTCCGGATAGAGTCACCGGCCTCGGAAAGGTGGGACGGGACCAGGGGCTGCTCACTGCTCTAAACCCCTGCAAGACCAGCTATGCTACAGGTGTAGCTGCTGGCTCCAGACCCTGTCATTAACCAACCTTGACCCCCACCCCTTCCCATACTACTCACAGGCCCGAGCTCTCAGCTCTCTTCCTCTTCCTGGCCTCCCTTCTAGCTGGAAGTGAGCCCTTTCACCTGGAGTCATTCTGGACCCATCTCATGGGCTCATGGCTGTTTCTGAACACTTTTGCTCCTTCCTAAGTGGTGTGCCCACTCTGAACCAGGTTCTGGGAAGAGATGACCTAGCCTTCCCTCCATAGCCCAGGGGCTGTCTGGATCAGGTTTGCACCACACCTGGGCACCTACTCAGGCAGAGTGGACATCAGAAACCCAGGGAATTGCACCAAGCATTCACGTGTGATGTGTAGGCTAAGGTTCTAGGTGGTGTGAAGCCTGCCTGCTCTGGGTCCAGCCCTGAGTGGGGTGCTGGGGGCGGGGGGAGATGGTCAATGCCAGTTCCAGTCTGCAAGGAGCACTAGACCTGCAGGGAGCACCAAGGAGTGGGTTGGGGTGGGCAAGCCAGATGGAAACTGACAACACGGATGTTCCGAAATGTAGCAGGGGAGATCACAGGGACTGGGGAGCCCTAGGACAGAAGTCTGGGTGTGTAGGGACCAGTAACAAGAAAGGAGTCAAGAGACAGCAAGCAAGGGGGTAAAAAAGGAGAAAAGGCAGGTGGGAGGGCTGGAGGGTCAGAGATGTCTCACACAGCAGGAGCTGAGGGTGACCGGCCCAGGTCAGGAGCAGGGAGGCCAGGAGCAGGGAGGCGTTGGCTGGGTGGGTGGGAAAGTAGGGGAGTTGAGGTCATCCTGGGATCCCTGGGAGTGATGAAAATGACTTCGCCTGACCAGGGTTTTATAAAGAACTCACTGAAGAACGAAGAGGAGGTGAGACTTGAGACAGAGTCAGTGGGTGGGCTGGGCGGCCATAGGAGCTCTGACACCGACCGCCCTCCCCCACTGATGTCCTGGATCAACCCGAGGCAAGAGGGCTGGAATCCTGGACCTTCCACTTACTCACTGGGAGACATTGGGCAAGTGACTTAACCTCTCTGTACCTCATTTCTTCCAACTGGGACATGGAATGATGTCAGAGCAACCTCCTAGGCTCCCTGCGCTGGCTGCAGGCAGAATAAGGGCCCGGCTCTGAGAATCCCACCTGACCCGCAGCAAGGGCTCCGTGTGAGCCAGTGGAGCAGCTGCAGCTGTGATCCAGGGCAGGGATGGGGGACCCAGGCTTTTTGTCCGCTGCCCTGGCCTCCAGCCTCCCCTCCCCGCTCCTGGCCCAGCAGAGGCAGGCTTACCTTGTGCAGCCAGTGCAGGTTCATCTGCTGCCCCACGGCAATGTGACATAGTGCCAGCACCTGAGGAGAGGCCCGCAGGGTGGCAGTTAGGCTGGTGCCTGACCTGGCCTGACCCAGGACAGGGTCAGCAAACCCTTCCTACAGGCGATAGGAATGCCCAGCCCAGCCCTGTCCAAGCCTGGCCTCCTTCCAGATTATTCTAGGACTCCAGGCCCCTCCTCTTGGATTTTTCCCTGAAGCAGCCACTGGGCCCTGCTGCACTTGGACTGCCCAACTTAATTCATCAAATATTTTGGGAGTCCCAGGCCCTAGGATTCTGAGACAGATTTGAGTCCTGGCCCTAAGAACTCCCAGACCAGAATGGGGTCCACATGAATCTCTATCACTGGGATACTGGGAGCAGGAACCTAATGTGGAGTTCTTGGAAGAGGAAGTCTGCAGTGGACAGCAGGGTGGCTGTCACTGGGCTGGGGCAGGGGTGCGGACAGGACAGACATTCCAGGATGGGCAGCTGAAAGAGACTGGCAAAACAGATGACCTTTCTCCTTGGGGGACCCAGGTCTCAGAAGTGCAGCCACCTGAGAGACCCTGGGCAAAGCCAGCTTCCCCCTTTAAACTAAGGCAGGCCTAGCACCAACCAAGTGTCCCTGCCTACTAGAAGCAGGGGGACCAGCCCTCTGAGACAGCCCTGTGTACCAGGAGGCCTGCGATGTATGTGAAGGCAGCAGCTGTGGTCACGAGGATGGGCACAGACCAGTCACTCCAGTAGCCCATGCGGTTGTAGAGGTACCTGCCGGGAGGAGAAGGGGCAGGGGTCAGACCTCCACAGGGTCACTGCCTGCCCTAGGAACCAAAATGATCTCGGGTCTTCCACAGCCGCAGCTGGGTGGCCCACAGACTGGTCCAGCGGCCAGGCCCTGCTCGCCCTGTAGTGGCACTGAGCATTTCCCTCGTCATTAGAACATGACTCATGCTCTTCAGCTTCTTGGTCTCCCAGTGTCCACCAAGGGGGACCAAGACACATAAAGAACAATTTCCTGCAATCCTACTGTCCAGAAATAACTGTCACCAAGACTGCAGGATTTTCTTCTTGTGGGTTCCCCACACCTATATATTTGAACAGCGAAGCTGGGCCCTGGGCACACAGGAGCACCCACAGCAGGAGGCTTTGGGCACCGTGGACATGCTGGCTCCAGTTCCCACTCTGCCTCTGAAGCGCTAATGGGACCTTGAAGTGACAGGCTTCTCTGCCATTGGTTGTAACATTCACCCCCACTCCGGTGTTCAAATGTGAAAATATGGGGTCTCAGAGATGATAAAATGTAATCCTTGACTTATCTGAGCCTCGATCTGCAGGACAGATAAGAGCAGCGTGTCTTTCTGAGGGTTCTGAGAGGAGGAAAAGAGGCGAAGCACATGGTGAGCACTCAACAGACTCTTCTCAGCACAGTGTTTACTGCTGTCTGCAAAAGTGCTGAGGAAATGTGATTTTTAAAAACAGCCATGTGGTCCTCTATTGAATCCATGTGCCATATATAGCCAACTTCCTAGAATGGCACTTCATCGTTTCCACTGATTCACTATTACAAATTAACACAAAAATGAAAAAATTGGGCATATCTTTTTGTATTTCTGGCTATGCCCTTAGGACAGATCCCCACCAGAAGAATTATAAGGTTCAGGGAATGAGCTTTTTAAGGGTCTCCGCAGCTTAGCTGCTCTCCAGGAGGACCCAGGGGAAGACTTACTACCTGGAAGATCATGAGCACAGTCATTTTGCTGCTCAGTTGGGGAAACTGAGGCAGGAATTCCCCTGTAACTGCTCCTGGAATATATTCTGGTCCTAAGTGTCTCAAATTCAACCGCTTTGGGGCTCTCTAGGACACCACAGATCAGATGGCCCTCTCTGTCCCACTTGGTGAGCTCGGACCTCCTTGGGTCTTGCTCACAATCTCTTACTACACAAACTACCCCACAAGCTCATAAGACCATGAGGACTGAGTCAGGATCTCCTGAACCTTGGTACCCAGCCTCCAAGACCCTGAGGTGACAGGCAAAGAGCTGCAGCTCCCAGGCACTCCACAGTCCCATGCGGGCCTTTCCTTGCAGTCTCCCACCAAGACAGGCAGGTATCCTCAGCTGAGTCTCCCAGGAACAGGGAGCTCTCTCTGTGAAGAGTGGATGGCTCCGTGGACAACATGATAGTTAAGCCCAAGTCCTGTGCCAGATCCACCTGCATCTCACATATGACCTTGCAAGGGACCTTTAATCTCTCTGGGTCTGTCTCCTCAGACTGTCCTCAAATATGTGTTTTTGTCATTGACAGGTCATATGACCATGAATGTGGCCCCTCCTTCTTTGGGCCTCAGTCTCCCCATCTGTGCTTGGTACACCCTCTGATCTCCTAGTTCAGAGGAGAACTATCCAGGGTCTGCCACTGAGGCCCGGGAGGAAATGTTCACAATAGTACTCATGCTTTGGATACCTGAGCAGACGAATAATTGATTTACAGAATTTAATAAAGACCAGAGGCCACCTCTGGGACCCAGCTAGGGCTCTGGCTCATCTTTCTGGGCTGCTGTGGAGAAGGAGTGAGACCGCAGCAGGTCCTTTATTGTGCTCATTAATAACAGGGGCACAGGATGGGGCTGTGCAGAGGAAAGGGGACAGCCAGATTCCACGGTCCATGAACAGAGTCTCAGATCCCCACAGAATCCCAGAAGCATGGCCCATCAAAATCCGACTCTGAGGAACCCCACAGCCCCCACCACAACACCCTCCAGCTGGAGACCTGGTCTCCTGGGAGGCAGCCTCCCACACCCACCATCCCATTTTACCTCTGATCAACCCAGTGCCTTCCAGGGGAGGACTGGGGGCGAGAAGAGACAGTACCCCTTCTGCACCCAGGTACCTGCCTCAGACAGCCCTGCCTTTGGACCCGAGGTGCCCACGAAGGAGACTTAGCTGTCCCCAGACCACAGCCATGGCCAGCCATGCCCAGGCATGGTTGGCTCGGAGAGTTAGGAGGTCTGGGGTTGGGGCTCCTCCTCTGCTGAGGCCTTGGTCTCTCTGGGCCTCAGAGTTCTTGTCTAAAAAGGAGATGACCAGAGGCCCAGCCCGGGCTAAGTGCTGTGCCCATCTTCCGCTCCTCCTCTTTTCCCTGGCACAGCCCCGGGAGGGGTGTCCTGTAGCCCGCATGGTGATCTTCCGCTCCTGTCTCCATTGATCTTTCAGGTGCCCCTCGTGCCTCCTCAGGCAGGCCATGCAGGATGAGTCACCCACATAAACACCAAAGGTCTGAGGGCCAGCACTGAGTTCCATGGGCTCAGTCCCCGCAGTCCTTGAAGGCTGTTCCTGTGCCCTCCCAAGGTCCCAGTGGGAATGCCCTCAAGGCAGGGATCTCCTTTCCTCTCCATCTTTCTTGCCAGTCTGTGATGTACACTACGCCCCCTTCTCTCCCAACCTCACTGAGGCCCTGCAGGTGGGCAGGACAGAGGCTCCTGGGGTGGGCCTTGCTCAAGGCCACAGGAAGGACAGGTGTCAGAGCCCTCAGATCCAACCTGGGAGAGAGGCTCAAACTGGAGCCCCCAGGTCCCAGCCACGGATGCCCAGGACCCAGCCCCCACTCACCAGTTGAACTCGTCGTAGTCATTGTGGACTTCCCACCAGAAATACAGCCACGTGAGCGTGAGGCCAAAGGTGAAGGTGAGGAGCAGGAACCAGAGGCGCTCCCACTGCAAGGGCAGAGGAGGAGAGGGGTCAAGTGCGGGTCCTGCCAGGCAGGATTAGTGCCCTCTTGGTACTGGTGAGGAATGAAGGCTGAGAGGGGAAAGGACCTGTCCAACATCACAGGGACCAAAGTCACAAATGAGTGGGGAACAAGGAGCAGAGTCCACCCCAGAGCTGTGGTCTTTCTGCTGCAGACTAAGGTCAGTGTGTGTTGGTCTCCTGTTCTGGCAAATGATCTCCAGAAGCAAAGTCTCATCTGCCCTAAAGCCTTCACACTGGCCAGTGACTTGCAGTCTGTGAAGTCGCATCCCTCATTTATTTTGTCTTCAGACATGCTTACAAAGCAGGTCCTCTTCTCCACTTCTACCCCGTGCTTCTGATAACAACACTGAAACCCAGAAAGGCCAAGTGATTTTGATTTGTCCAAGTCACACAGCAAGTTAGCAGAGGATTAGGGACCAGGGCCCCAGAACTAGGGCCCCAGTCTCTAGGCTTTAAAGAAGTAAGTATAAAGTTCCGCCTCCTCTTCTGGGCACTGATGCTTCAGGGCCTGGCGAGGCTGTCTCCAGTCCAGGGTGGCGATGGAGGGTATGCTGACCACCACTGCTGCTTCCAGAGGTTTTGGCTCACAGGTGCTTCTGCCTGGGCCTTATTCCTCCTTTCTTTTCTCTATACCCCAGTCTCAGAAGCACAAGCTAGGAACATCCTGCATAAGGGGGCGATGACTGCCTTTTGGGGAGGTCAACATCCCTAAGGAAGGGCCACTGTCCCTAAGCTTGTTCTACCAAAATTCCTGTTCTTTTCTTTTTTCTTTTTTTTTTTCTTGGTACCAGGGATTGAACTCAGGGGCATTTGACCACTGAGCCACATGCCCAGCCCTATTTTTTAAAAATTTTATTTAGAGACAGGATCTCATTGAGTTGCTTAGCGGCCTCACCATTGCTGAGACTGGCTTTGAACTCTTGATCCTCCTGCCTCAGCCTCCCTAACCACTGGGATTACAGAGGTGCGCCACTGCGCCCAGCCCTGTTCACCTTTGAGTCAGTTCAAATGTCACCTTCTCTGGAAAGCCTTCCTGGGCTCTGCCTTAGCACCCTTACACCATCTCTCTGCTCCACAGCAATAGGGTCCCTCTGATTTTGTTTGGTTTTTGGTAACTGAGGATTGAACCCAGGGGAGTTTATCACTGAGCCACATCCCCAGCCCTTTTTATTTATTTTTAATGTTGAGAAAGGGTCTCACTAAGTTGCTGAGGCTGATCTTGAACTTGTGATCCTCCTGCCTCAGCCTCCCAAGCTGCTGGGATTAAGGTGTACAATGCTGCACCTGGCAGCATCCCTCTGTTTTTAAACTTGTACTCTTTGCATCCTGACCTGCTCAAGTGGCCATTCCCCAGATGACATGGTTCCAACAAGATGGAGACGGAGTCTGCCTCCACCCCATCAGCATTTATGCCTGAGCAGGAAGCTGCAAGGGGAGGAAAAGTCCAGAACATCGCTCTCCTTTGCTGCCCAGGGACACCTCATGGAGGCATTAACTACAGCATCTGGAGCCAGACTGCCTGGGACTTCGAATCTACCATTAATAGGCTGTGTAACTAACCTTGGGCGTGTTACTCAACCTCTCTGTGCCTGCTTCTTCCTCTGTGAAATGAACTTAAGAGCACTAAAATCATGAGGTCAATTTGAGAATTAAATGAGGTAATACAAGTCAAGTACTCAGAACCATGGCTGGCAAACAGTGGGCACTCTCCATTAGCATACCATAAGCACCCGGGCCTCTCTCCAGCATGCAGGAGAAGCCATCTTCCTGGGCCATCTGTGACTTGGTACACACTAGCAGCTCCCCCCACCCCGTGAGTCACACAAATTGGTGACCCATGTCTGGGTAAGCAGCCGCCACCACTCATTGTCATGTGCAGAGCCAGGCTTCTTTGCTTAACCCCCACTTGATTTAAAACAGAGACGAAGGTGACCATACTCTAAAACCCAATCCTCCCAGCAGGTCTGGGGTGGGGATGGCTTCTCAGAGTAGGTCGCTTGTGCCTGCCCCACCTGGGCGTACACTGGCACGAGCCCCAGCTCCAGGCATGGCAAACCCAGGATTGCTTAGGAACAGAGAAAACCTGGTGAGAAGCAGAGCAGGCCACGTGCCCACCTGGGGGACTGAGGCCCATGTCAGGGAACCACTAGGACAGTCTGGGTGGTAGCTCTGTGCTGCTTCCCGTGGCCAGGCTGTGGGTCTGGCCTGCACCGCCAGGGCTAGGTCTCTCCACCTCCTCCACCTTGGCTGGCCCAGCACCTCCATCTAGTCCTTCTCAGAGTCTCTGCTCTTGCCTCAAATTCATATTTGTTCATAACAGACCCCATTTCCTGCAGGGTCCAGCTGGCAGCTCTCAGGCCAGTCTTAGTGTCTGGGGCTCCCACAGAGGGAGCCGTGTCCCCCAGCCTCATTCCCTTCTGGTGTGTCACGCCCCAGCTCGAACTCCCTGATGCCTGAGCTCTTCTGCAGACTCTGAGGCCAGGCCAACCTCTGCACCTGCAGCCCGACGCATGCTGACCTACCGCAGTTCCCAGCAGGCCCTGGGGAGCCCACAGCTTTACGTGAGCCACATCCTCCATGGAAGGCAGCCTTTCCCTCCTCAGTGAGACCCCTCTCCCCGAGGGCATCCCTGTCCTACAGGGTGAATCCCAGCTGGAGCCACACCACCCTCACACCAATCTCGGCGTCAGCAGAACCTGCAGGTCTGTGATTCTGTGTGTGGCTCTGCTGTGAGCACACTGATGAGCTGGGTGTCCTCATATCCCCAGGTGGTGGAGGAACTCAAGAAAGACTTGATAATGAACCGGTAGGTTCCTTTTCTCCCACCCTGGTGTGATATGCTCATCTAGGAGAGATTTCACTGGGGCTTGATCGCCCTGCCCCACCCGCCAGAGGAGTGCTCAGTCCTGCTGGCGGTGCCGGGTGCCCATCTGTCTCCAGGGCTTGCTCTCCTGCAGCAGCAGCGAGCTCTGCATTGCACTTCGAGCAGTGGCCAAGGCCCCAGGTGACGAGAAGCCACAGCTTAGGATGGCACAAGTTTCCTGAAGGTCGAAATAGTAGAGCACCTGCTGCTGCAGGTGCTGGGAAGACATCCGGCAGCAAGGTGTGATGAAGGACCCAGGGTGACACCAACAGGTAGCCCGGAAGACCACAGGCATTGCAGGGGTCAGGTGGCCCCCAGAGGTCCTGTGCTCCACGACACGGCCAGATCCTTACTTTGAGCCAGAACAGGACAAGAATGAGGGACTGCATCCCTGCCCCTAGAAACTGACCAGGGTGACAGGCGTAGAGCCTACAGGTAGGTGAGGCACCCAGGCATGGCAGGGACGGGGACAGGGCCTTGGCAACAAGGAACTAGGAACTCTGTTTTCAGGACAGGGGCTTGAGTGAGGGTTGGGGGGTCTGGGGACTACAGGCCTGGGAGCTGGGAGCGGAGGCCAGCTGGCTACAGGGGGCCCTTGGAGGAGGATGAAGAGGGCCAGGCAGTGGGGGGGGGGGCGGGTGTGCACTGAGAACAATCAGAGGAAAAAAAACTACATGACAGCGGTTGGAAGGAAGGGGAAGGGGAAGGCAGGGACTGGAGGAAGCAGCCTGTGTGCAGCTCCACTGATAAAGAGGTTCCAAATGGCACTAATGGTCCTTGTCAGGGTGCATTATGGAGGAAAAAGTCCTGTGCCCGCTCTACCATTAACAAGCCAATCTGGCCCTGCTCCCGGAGGATGGCAGCAGGGATCACTGCCCCAACTGGCCTCCTGAGGCCACTGCCATACAGAGGGATAGCACTTCTCAGCCTCCCCATCTCCCACAGCCTGCACAGGCTCAGGGGGTGTGTCTCCAGCACTCCGAGGCTCAGAGAAGGATCCCCACACACGGCTGAGCAAATTGTGCTCTGCCCCACGCCAAGAAGCACAGGGTTTCCACACAGGTGCAGATTCATGATGACAATTTTTGACAAATGGCAGTCAAGTGGCAGAGGGGTGCCTTTTTTTCTTCATTTGCACAAGGGCTCAGTGTGGGCAAGTGGAGGTCAGAGAGGTCACCAAGTGGGGGAAGAGTGGGGAACCCTGGATTCCTGACAGAAGCAGCCCTGAACTGCTTCCCTCAAACCTGCCCTTACCCTGGGGACCCCATATGGCCATCCCAGGCCCAGCGTGGCTTCACCCTTCCCTTTCTCTGGGTTGTACCCTGGGTCCAAACTCTGCTCTTTCCTGCTCCCAAAGACCTGCCCTCCTGGAGCATCCTGCTCTGGCTCTTGGTACCTACCAACTTGACCCTACACAACATCATTGTGGAAAGGGCACGACCTCTGAAGGCCAGGCTCTGCCACGTGGGCCAGTCATTTAGCCCTCTGAGCCTTGGATTTTTCACCTATAAAATGGGAATCATAACCGCTGCCATAGAGGGGTGCTGTTAAATGAGCTGATATACTTCAACCAGCATACAGTATGCGCATACTAAAGGTCACTTCACTGAAGTTTGCGCTCCTTTGGGGCAGGGATGCCTGGAATGTCTCTGGGTCCAGCATCATGTTGGAGCACAAGGGGGCACTCAGATATGGTGGGAATAACTGAAGAAGGGACTGTGTCTCAGGGATGCTCAGGGCCACTGGAGGACAAGGCCATCATTCAAGCCCCAGACTTATTCTCAGGCCAGGGGCCCAGGGAAGCAAGGGCAGGAACTCCCATGACACAAGCCTCCTCTCCTTCCTTTCAGCGCCATGGCAGCCGCCAGGGAGCAGGACAAAGGCTGAGCCAGGCATAGCTGACCTAGCCGGAGCCGCCCCCTCATGGGGTCAGCAACTCCTCAGCTCACCCAGGCTACAGCGGGAGTGTGCTGGAGGTGGCTGCATATGGGGCAGCCAGAAGAAGCCCAGCTTGGTCAGAAGAGAACCCTGGGTGTAGGTGAGTAGGATGCTGTAGCCCTGCTCCGAGGGACGAGGCTGAGGCCCAGTGGCTGTTAGAGA